TCTAGAGCCCCGGTATCACCAATAAACACTCATCATCTTCATCTTATAAAAAAAGCTCTCACGGCAGCGGCCTGCTCTAGACAACATGATCTGTCTGTCTGTTTTGTGGCTCTACGTTCAGGAAGCAGAAGTGTGAGAAATTAACGAATCGTTGCTAAATGTTGCCTGTGGTTGCAGACTCTCATATACGTCTGATAACAGCGTGTGACTGATAATGCTAGCATGTTTAAAAATGACTCTGAAGAAGGAACTGTCTGGTCTTTTAGGGTAAATCTAAGCAAGAAATAGACGAAGGACTGAAAGAGAAAATAAGAAAAGTGCTTTGCATGAGAAATGCACGCAATAATGTCTACGTGAGAATGAAAATGCACGTTTGTGGAACGAAGATGGATGGATTTATCTTCTATGGAAGATAAAACTAATTGAAATGGAACCAAGAGCGAAAGGGGAAAAGGAAAATCAGATTGGAAAATACATCATTCATCTTTATATTTCATCCATATTCTTATATTTCATTTCATATTTCATTTTATATTTCCATCCATTTATCCATCTACTGTTGTATCATCCCTTCATCCATCCATTGTAATATTGTTTTATCTTTTTTTTCTTGTTTCATCTATTTATCCATCTATTTGTTCGTCCAATCGCCCATCCATTATTTTATTGTTCCATCCATCAATCATTTTATCGTTCTTTCCATCTGTCCATCTATCCATAATCTTATTGTTCTGTCATCCATCCATCATTTTATTGTTCCTTCCTTCATTCCTTCCATTCATCCATCATTTTATTCTATCCATTCATCCATCATTTTATTCTATCCATCCATCCATTTTTATTTTGTTCCATCCATCCATCATTTTATTATGTGCATTCATTCATTATTTTATCGTTCCATCCATCCATCCATCCATCCATCCATCCATCCATCCACCCTTTTATTCTATCAATTCATCCATTATAATATTGTTCTATGCATCCATCCATCCATCATTTTATTGTTTCTTAATCCTTCCATCCATTCATCCTTCCATCCATCCATCCATCCATCATTTTACTTTTCCAACTATCCATAAACTTACTGTTGCTACCATCTGTCATCAATTTATTTTATTGTTCCTTTCTTTCAGCCATCCATCCATTCATCATTTTATTCTATCCATCCATCCGTTCATCCATTTTTATTGTTCCATCCATTCATTTTATTCTATCCATCCTTCCATCATCCATCTTTTTATAGTTCCTTTCACCTGTCCATCCATCCTTCCATCCATTCATCCATCATCCATCCATTTATCCATTATTGTATTGTTCCATCTATCCATCCATCCATCATTTTTTTCTTTCCATCTGTCCATAATCTTATTGTTCCTTCCATCTGTCATCCATCCATCATTTTATTGTTCCTTCCTTCCATTCATTTATCCATGAATCCATTCGTCCATTATTTTATTGTTCCATCCATCATTTTATTCTCACCATCCATCTATTCATCTATTATTTTATTGT